GGCGGCGCCGCGGTGAGAGCGGAGGGGCCGCGGGACGGGCCGCGACCGGCGGGACGGGACGAGACGGGGCGGGCGGGAGCGGAGCGGCTCCGGCGCCCGCGCGCTGCAAACAGCGTCCGTGTCCCGCGCGCTGCTCCGCGTTGGGACAGGCTTTGCAGCGTGGAGAGCTGCTCCGAACGCACGTGTTCCCAACGAGGAGCGAGCTGCGGTTGCGTCGGGTGTGGGCAATTAGGATGCGGTAGCGTTAAAGGCCGGCCGGGTTGTTAGCTCGGGAGTTTGGTGGAGAAGGGCTTTGTGTGGAGGGGAGAGCCCCTGCAGGGCAGGCCCCGTCCTGCCCTGCGTCTCACCGCTGTGCCTTGCTTTCGTGCGCTTGGGTTTGTAGCTGTGCCCCGCGGCGCGAGGTGGGGTGAGTTGGGAAACGTCACAAAATTAGTGCCGTGCTCCAGTGGCCGCACCTGCGTGGCAGAAGTGTTGTCACACACGGTGCTCGCCCTGCGGCTGCCCTGCTATGTGCGCGGCGGCGGGGCAGAACGGGCCCGTGGGGAGCGCCCGGGTGGGAGGATGGTGCTGGGCGCCGCGAAGGCCGTTCCCAGCACAGCCGGGCGCCGCGGGGGCGTTTGTTGTGTTTGTTGTGTTTGCTGCGCTCCTCTGGGCACTGCCTTGGGTGCTGCAGGTGGTGGGTGCTGCACGTGCAGCACGGTCCCGTGCTCGTGGCTGTCCCGGCACCGGCCTGGCCGCTCCGGTGCGGGAGTTAGCGCCCGGTGTGCCCAGGGGCGCCGCGCTGTCTGCGCGGGCACGTGATGCGCTGGGGCTGGCGGCCTCCGTTAGGATCCTTCCCATCCCGCCTGTGATTCCAGCATCGCAGAGCTCCAAGTTGTAGCTACACTCACTAGGAGCTGCCGGAGGGAGAAGATTGCAGCCGTGCTGCTTGGAAAGGGCCATGAAGGGGCCCCGCGTGTCGCAGGGCCGACACGGGAGGCACCGGCCCCCGTGACAAGTGTTTCCCGAGCGCAGGAGTCTCCTATGAGATGAGGCCTTGGTGGAGCAGATTCCCTTCCGTAGCTGGGAACTTTGTGTGATTGAAAAGGGATCTTGTTCCCTAACCAGGAGGGAACCAGGCTGCCCGGTGTGGGGTGGATGGAAAGGAGCTCGGCATGGCCTCTGTGCTGGCCGCGAGGAGCAGCAGCAGCTTCCAGGGCCCTTATCCCTCCACCTTCCTGTGTGTGAGAAATGACAGGCACAAATGGCATGTGGAGCCACGCTCAAAATAGCCCCGTCCCCTCCATGGGTGCTTGGCAGCCTCCTTATATGTCGCGCTGATGCTCCCGTGGCCGCTCCCGCCGGCCGTGGGGCTGCTCCGCCAGCACGAGGCGGAGGGGAGGCCCTGGGCAGCTGCCGCAGCAGCCGCCCGCCACCCTCCCCATCGCCTCCCTACCCTGAGCCGCCCTCCTTCTCCCGCACGCAGGATTGCCAAATGCTTCTGAACCAACTGAGGGAGATCACAGGCATCCAGGATCCGGCCTTCCTCCACGCAGCGCTCAAGGTTTGGGAATGCTGTCCTTGTCCTCTGAGAGAAGAGCTCAGGTTCCGCCTCAAACGTTACCATCACTTCAGGCCCTTTCTGTGTGTCATTTGCGGGTTGGGTTTTGGGGGGAGGCCGTTTTGGGGGTTACTGATAGGCCGCTGCTTGCCCCACGCCGTCGGGGTGCGTCTCGAGAAGGCAGTTCAGCGCGGTGCCGGAGGAGGCTGCTGCCCATCCGTCTCCCTGCGCCGAGAGTCCCCTTGCACCTCAGCTCTGCAATTACTGCTGTCTCTCACAAGGATAAGGAGTTAATGCAGCCTGTGCAGTGCTAGTAGTAAAAGCAGAGGGCTCTGTCCCTGACAAATTGTAGCCTTTATTTGCTGTTCCCTGCAGCTTGACCCCAGCAGGTAGCTTGCTCCCGCCGAGCAAGGAGACCTTGGTGCCAGCGACTCCGTGTGCCGCATGTGCTTTACATCTCACAGAGACCAGTGCTGCGGATTTCCCCCTCTTGTTCCGCCAGGCCACAGATGGAGACGTCATGGAGGCGGTGAGCGTGCTGACGGAGGCGCCCGCCGAGGAGCTGCGCAGCGCCGCTGCCGCCGAGCCCGCCGCCTGCGAGGGCAGCGCTGCCCACGCGCCCCGCGCAGCAGGTCAGTCACGTCGCTGCGTTCGCCCCTGCACCCTGCGAGCCTCGGGTGGCACCCGAGACAGCCGGGGAGGCGTGAGGCTCCCGGCCTCTGCCTCCAAACCCCTGCTCTTGGCGTTTTGCTGGCGCTCGTGTCTTGCACTGGGGCACCTAGAAAACCAGCAGATTGGCCTCTCCTGTGTGAATAGCTTTTGTGCCCAATAGTTTCCTGGAGGCAGCTCTTCTCTGGCTCGAAGGAGAGGGAAGGAGGATGCAGTAGGAGGATGCCCATGGTCACACAGACAACGTCTCTGTGTGCCTGGGGGTTCCTGATGCTGCTCAGTGTTTCCTGGCGTGGGACAGTGGCCTATGGAAGGAAAGCATCTCAGAAAGAACAGTGCCTGGAGCAGCACTGCAAAGGAGAGGGCGGCCTTTGGTGCCCTGCTCGGCCCTCGCTACAGCGAGCTCTGTGTTAGGGGTGCTTGCCCTAAGAGCTGGTTCTGTTCTACCAGGCGGGCAGGTTGCCTATAGGGGCAGGGCAGGGCTGGGCCTTCTTCACAGCCTGCTTACCCAAGAGCCCGGACCTGTCCCTTCCGAACGTGCAGATCGTTGCTTGCCGTTGTTCAGCTGCCCGGCAGCCTGGCTGCACTGCTCTGAGGAGCTCCTGGTGCCCGGCAGCTCGTGTTCCGCCGTGCTGCTGCCCAGCTCGGGCCGCCCAAACGCGGACACAAGGGCAGAAGAGCGCCCGGGCAGCTGCCTTGAGCTGCCACTTTGAGCACAGGAAACTCGGTCTCAGAAATACTGGTATTTATACGTAAGTGTTTACAAAAGTAGGCCGTTGTTGGAACCTTGAAACTTAAAAAAAAAGTATGATTGCCATCTGCTGTAATTGAAAATAACTTCTGTAACAAAACTTTACTTTTGTTAGATACCCCTAGGGTGTCACTTGAAAAATTTCTCTGGTCAATTTAGCACCGCAGAGATTCACAATGCCCAAAATCTGTGCTGGAGCCCAGAGCGCAGCACCTGGAAGCCCTCAGCTGCCCTTCTATTTAAAGGAGGCTCCCACCTGCCTCACAGCTGTGTCTGCTTCCTCCTCCTCCTCACCCATGGCTAGGAAGCACAATGCCTCGCAGCACAAGAACTTGGTTGGCGATGGGTGTGAGAATCTTTGTAAATGCAGTCTTTTGTCTTGAAAGTGTGTCAGGATTCAGTATCGATACCAAGGCACAACAAATATCAGCAGCACTCAGTGTTGTCGGTTCAGTACCGGAGCAGGTTTGAAGTGCTTCCACAAGCTTCAGGAGGGAGGGAATTGGGCCTTTATACAGCTGCACAATCTCCTCTCTCCTTCTAGCTTCAGCGGCCTCGTAGTGCAATTTAAACTAAAGGAGAATGTGATTGCATTTCTGCTAGAAAGCTATACCTGAATCTCCTTGAAAAGTGATGCCTGTGAAGGGTAACGTTGTCCGGAACTCTCTGTTAAGGAAACGTTTGCGTGCTCCTGTCTGGAAACCTGCGCTCAGAGCGTTGCCTCTGCTTCTAGGTGTGCGTGCACTTCCCGCCGGGAGCCCGGACGGCCTCCAGGCAGCCGCTGCCTCCAGCCCGCGGGAGCCGCCACCAGCCCCGGCTGCAGGGAGAGAAGCAGAAAGGTCAGTGGGGCTGCAAAGGCCTTCGGGGTTTCGCGGGTACGTTGAGGGTGTCCTTAGGCTGCTTGCGATTCTAGCAGCGCCCGGACAAATGGGCTGCGATACTCACCGGTACCTTCTGGGGCAGTGCTGCAACACGGGGCTCGGCATCCAGAACCCACCTCTGGTTGCGACTTATTCTGTTCCTGCTCCTGCCGCTTGCACGCGCTGCGGTTCCTGCAGCTCCTGGGATTCTCTGTGAGATGCTGCTTTACTGCACGATTCCCTTCTGCCCCGACAGAGCACAGGAGGCCCGTTGTGCTGAGAACAAAAGCCGCTCCAAGCGGAAACGCTGCGAGGTCTGGGGAGAGGATCCCAAGCAGGACGACTGGAGAAGGGCGGGTGACTGGCCTGTTGGAATGAGAAACATTGGGAACACGTGTTGGTTTAGCGCTGTCATTCAGGTAAGCTCTTGGCAGAGCTCCTCTGGGACTGCTGCTGCCTTGGCGTCCGGTGCTTATCGGGGCACAGTCAAACCACATCATCTCTGTGAGGTGCTCGTCGTTTGCCGGTGAGCCAGTGCGACCGTGCTCACGCTTAGCCATTTTTTTCAAAACTGCAAGTATCCCATACTCAATTTAATAGAGAGGCAAAAGCGTTCCCACCTGCAGCCCTCTCTGCTTTGTGGGGCGAGCACGGTATCGGGGAGGGTTCTGAGTTTTCATTTTCCGATTTGAGAAATGGATCAGGCCTTAGCCTGCGACCCTAAAATACTTCTGCTTCTATTTGATATAAGGGAGATCTTCTCTGGATGTACTCAAAAAGAGCAGTTAGTCCTCGTGTAACAGAGATAGGGATCAATATAATCTGTATGTACCTCTGCAACTGCCTTTTGGTGCCGTGATGTCCAAATGCCGGATGACAGAAGCTAGCCTGGCAGAGGGAACTGATAATTCAGTTTTACTGCAGTGATTATTGGCTCAATACACACTGTATCAGATTGCAGGTAATGGAATACAGTGTCCTGCATGTTTGATCTAATAAGCAACTAGGCAGGGAGTATTATTCACGATAACCCCAGCAAGCATAGGAGAGACGGGACGCATTTGGCTCGTGTAACCACTTTACATCAGCAGCAGATAAATGCTAATCGTCCCTCTGCATCTTTGCAAGGAAATAGAATAGCTGTCGGAGTGCTCCTTTCGTGGCGGTTGTGGTTGCTCTGAGCTTCTCCTCCACTTGCCCGTGCTCTTCTCTGAAATGCTTAGATACCCCGAAGGGGCAGGATGTGATTTGAGGCCTTCAGCAGGCTGTAAGGGGAGACCAGGGCACGGCTGTGCTGCCCACCCCGTGGCTGCTCCCTTGAGTGCTCGCTCAGGAGCAGGGACCATGGGGAGGTGGCTGCGAGCACCGCGGCCACTGCGTGCCCACGAGGAGCAGGCTGCTGGGGCCATAGGCGTTCACGCAGCCCCCATGCCCGCCACTCTCTACCTCTGCTTTCCCTGCAGTCCCTTTTCCAGTTACCGCAGTTTCGGAGGCTGGTCCTTGGCTACTCCGTCCCGCAGAGCGTGCTGGAGACTTGTCGCAGTCGCACGGTGAGTTGGCAGTGGCTCGTGCTGCACAGGGCCCCTCCACGCAGGGCTTCTTGGAAGGGGCCACCCGAGGCCCTGGCACCTTTAGCTGTCTTGCTGCTTTGAAGTCAAATGTGAGAAATATTTCTAAGAGACAGATTTGCTGTAGAAAAAGTTGAGTGCCTCACTGAAAGCTTCAATTTAGAATGCAGCTTTTATAGACTTGCCCTAAGATTGTTTTTGTTTGTTTGTTTGTTTTTCTCCACAATGCAGGGAAAAAGAAATATTGCATTCATGCAAGAACTTCAGTGTCTGTTTGCTTTGATGCTGGGGACACGTCGTAAGTTTGTAGACCCGTCTGCAGCCCTGGAGCTCTTGAGGGATGCCTTTAAATCTACCGAAGAGCAGCAGGTAAGACCAGATTGTAAAGCCTTTCGCTGCCTTCGGAGCAGCGCTTACGGGCCCGCTGATCCGCTTGGTGCTGCTGTCACACTCAAAGCAGAGCTGCTTGTGCCTGCTAATTAGACAGGCTATGTGGCATCCTCCCGCAGGGCCATGCACGTAGCCGGGGAGGTTCCCCAGTAGTTCTCTGGCTTCCCGGTGAGCGGAGCGCTCGTGCCGGGGCTGAGCAGAGATCGCAGCGCTGCAGGCTGCCGTTGGCTCGCACGAGGAGGCGCAGCCGGCCTCTGCTCCGGCGCCTCCCCGAGACGCGAGGGCACGAAAACGCTGTCACGTCTGCGCGCGTGTTTGACTGCAGCTTGTGTCTCTCGCAGCAAGATGTGAGCGAGTTCACACACAAGCTGCTGGACTGGCTGGAGGACGCGTTCCAGCTGGCCGTGAATGCCAGGTGGGTGCTTGCGCGCTCGGCCCTCCGACCTGGCACCGAGCGCAGATTTCAGATGTGATGGTTTGATGAACGGGGGAGATGTAAGGTTAAAAAACAAAAGCTTTTAAAGCTATTTACAATTCAATAGAGCTGCTGGAAAATGGCACGAGAAAGCGGTCAGCCGATAAAATGAAAGGGTCATAAAATGTACGCTCGGATATAGTAGATGTTAGCTTAGAAAACCAGTCACCTGAAGTGGAAATATAAAATCTTCTTAAATACGTTCCTTTCTTTAAAGATCCCTCCTTTAGAGCTCCTTCTCAGAAGGCAGCGTTTTAACTTTTCCTTGCCAGTGCAAGTGGTAGAATGCAATTGTGAGTATGGAAACGGAGCAGTATTTTGTGCTGATAGAAAAGTTTATTCTTCCTTGCAGGAAGACTCCCGAGCAAAGGCTTAAAGCTTGAGCTAGGACTTTTTAAGAGCCTATAGCTGTAAGTGAAGCAAATACCTGGATTTTCTCTTTCCTTCTTTTTTGCAACAGCAACCCTGGGGATAAATCTGAAAATCCAATGGTGCAACTGTTCTATGGGACGTTCTTGACTGAGGGCGTCCACGAGGGTGAGTTGAAGACTTGGTAGTTTCACTGTTGATCTCCTCTGAGTGTTTTAATTTATAGCAATGGTGATGCATGACTTTTATGTTGCACATTCTTGGTGAAATTGCCTGGTTCTGCAGTGGTAAAGTGAGCTTACAAATAGTCACCTTTATAAAATTGTTTTTAACTTTTTTTCTGCCATGAAGTGCCTTTAGTGAGAAAATTTCAAACTTTTGCCTGTGCTCATCTGCTTGAGGGTTTGTTTATAGAGAGGTTGGTTTTGATAGATATCTCTGCTGAGACCCATATGGAAGTCATTTCTTAGAAGCAGTGTGTCAAAGCTGCTGTTTGTAGCAAGCTCCTGAGTTATTCTTTGCTGTTGTTGCTTTAAGTTGCTTCGTGGGGTTTTGTTTTGTTTTGTGTTTTCCTTACTCAGGCAATACTTTCTCCAAGATTGAAACCTTTGGCCAGTATCCCCTTCAGGTAAATGGCTATCGGAACTTGGACGAGTGCTTGGAAGGCGCCATGGTCGAGGGCGAGATGGAGGAGGAGACAGACGCCCGGTCGGTGCAATATGGGCAGGAGGTGGGTGCTGCGTTTGGGCACAAAGCTGCCTTGTAGAGCTGCGTTGTCCCGTGCAAGCACTTTGAGGAGTTTGCTTTACATTAAAAAGCTCAACCTCTGCCTGTGATGCAAGTGTGACAAAGTCTCTCTCTCTCTGTTGATGCCTACCTGTGCCTGAGTAGGGGGAGAACCACTGCCTCCATATTTTCGGAGGGTAAAAGTGCAGTGCTTTATGGTAGGCCATTTGGAATTTGCTTCTTTCTCCCTATTACAGTGCGTGTTCCCTTTCTTCTCATTTTCACTCTTCTGCCTGTGCTGATTTTTTTTTTTTTCTCTAGTTTATTTTTTTTTAATTCTTCGAATCACCAATCAATCAAGCTACTTGGCTGTTGCACGGTGGAGAGAGAAGATGTGCTCTGACATTGCGTGTTCTGTGTGTGCCAGAGCAGTTAGTGCACAGAAAGTTTGGGAAGTAATAACCAGAAATTGCCAAGGTACCTGGCACAGAGGGCGCAGGGGAAGGAATTTCCCTTTGCTCTGAACATTTGAGAAGGGAGATGTTGTGCTCATGAGCCCTGTCTGCCTCTGGCCTCAGCTGTCTCCGTGGGGTTTTGCTAGGTCCTGCACAAGCCTGCCTAGATGCCACTAAAGCTCATTCTGCAGCGCTTGATGTAGCCTGGAGCAAGGGCGTAGGGAGCCGCTCGGGTGGACTCTGTCCCATCCAACCTGTGTCTGGGTTTCTGTGAATTTCGGTGAGCTCCTTAGTGAGAGACAAGGGACAACATCCCAGTCTCTGGGCCAGGTTGTAATTGTTATGTGGCGGCACAGGTAGGAGGAAGTGTCTATCTAGGAAGTGTCATTGCAAAGAGCTGCACATCTTTATTTCGCTTCCTAAGATGTGGTGGCTAGAGGGCCATGTGGTAGTTGGTGTGGACAATAAGGTGCATTTTATCTCTGGAGGGCACAGGGGGTGCGTGGCAGCTCGGGGCGGCAGTGGCACTCGTTGGCGCCGGTGCTTCTCCTGTATAACAGGGCTGTGAAACCTTCCTTTGCCTTGTCTGTGCTCTCCTGTCCTGAACACGGGGCAGCTTCCCAAAGCGCTCTGCTCGCTGGCCACGTCCTCCTCCAGTGCTGGAAATCGTCACCTCGGTTGCACAGATTGTACGTCTGGAAACAGGCTCTTGCGCTTGGGTGCAGGGCAGGGTTATTGCAGCAGGACATTCGTGTGGCTCGTGCAAAGGGGAGGCCTGAGTGTCCCGCAGGGAATGTGCTCTGGGAGCTGCCACGCTAAGGTGGCCAAAGGAGACCAGGAATTGTGAAGCAGGAGGACAGAGCAAGCCCAGCTGCCGCGGGGAGCTTTCCTTTCAGCTCAGCTCTTGGAAACAGGGCTGGACACGCAAAGCCAAGCGCCTGTCCAGGTGCCCGAGCTGGGCAGCATGAGAGAGGGTGAGGAACGAGGTGCTGGTTGAGCACCTCTGGTTGACTGCTCATCACTGCATGAGAGCCGCGTTGGGAAATAGCTGCCTCAGAGGTGTTTGTACAGTGCGTGCAAATTTTGTAAAATCAAGTCCCAGGGTGCTAATAATCCATCAGGCTGGATGCACCAGGCAATGGAAATTAATTTTCTGTAAGCTATCATGAGGCCTCTTGATAGTAACATTCTGAAATGGAAATGGAAATTTCAATCTCATAAAATCTGTCTTTTGGACTAGCTGCTCCATAAGCAAAATCTCTGTGAAGTCAGAGCTTACCGACAGGCGTGCTTAGGATCGGTCTAAGATAGGGCAGGTGGCAATGCCCGTCAAAGCCGTCCCCCCAGGGCAATTTGTGCTTCTCCGGCAGCGCTGGTTCACAAAGCTGCCCCCGGTGCTCACCTTCGAGCTCTCCCGATTTGAGTTCAACCAGTCCCTGGGACAGCCCGAGAAAATCCACACCCGCCTCGAGTTTCCCCGCACGATCTACATGGACAGGTGAGTCGCTTTCTCTCGCGGTGAGCTGCAGCTGATGCCTTATTTCAGGGAAGGCAGGGAAGAAATCCTTCTTGGAGAGGAGGGAAGGGCTTGAAAATATTTATGACACGTGGGAGATGGTCAAGGTACGCAATGCTCACGTGAAGGGGCTCTGTGATTTGTGTAGGTACCTCTACAGCAGTAAAGAGCTTATTTGTGTGAAAAGAGAAGAAATCAAGAGATTAAAGGAGAAACTAATGGTTCTACAGCAAAAGCTGGAGAAGTAAGTGTTCGCCTATTTCTGTTCTGACACTGCGGGGAATTCTGTGACCCCTTCCTTTTAAATGAGCATTTAAGTAAAATAAAAACTGGCAGAAGAAGGAGAAAATACAGAAATATTCAAAAGCCAGCCCTGGTCATAGGGCTGGTGGCAGGAGGCCTCTGTTGCTCCGCTTTCATCAGCCGTGTCGGAATATCCCAGATAAAGGCCACACGTCCCATGTAAAAGCATTGACACCCATTTAACAAATGGGTGATCGAGAAATTATATGTATATATATGTATAGTGTGTGGCCGGATGCTGAAACTGTAGCTTTGTGAGCGCTCGGCGGGGGAAGTCACGCTCAGATCATCCCAGAGGATTTCTCTGGGATGCTGCGGTGTTCAAAGCAATGGCTATAAAAGGACAGGAATATTATCCATCAGCTCTCCATAAATGCGTCCCTGACCATGCCACAAGCTAAGGGATGTTCTCCTCTTTGCGTTGCTGTTTCCTCACGGTTAACAGGGTGGTCGTGCTCCGTCACTCACCGCCCCGCGGGGCTTGTGCGTCTGTTTTACCCGAGGTACCTGAGATACGGCTCGGGGCCGGCGCGCTGCCCGCTCCCGGACATGCTGCAGGCCGTGCTCGAATTCGTCGCCACCAAGGCCACTGCTGCCGCCTCTGCGCCCCGGGGCGCTCGGACACCCGTCCTGCCCGCCCAGGGCGAGCCTCACCTCTTGGAGAGCCCTTCGCAGCAGCACAGGTTGGGCAACGGCAATGCAGAGCACTTGCAGGAGAACGTTCCCCTGGCAGCAGGGGCGGGCGCCGTGCCGCGGGGAGCCCGTCCTGCGCCCGTGTCCCCGCGCCAGCCCCAGCGCTTCCCGCGCTCCTTCGGTCCGCGGGGCCAGCGCTTTCTTTCATCGGCCGTGGCACTGCTGCTATTGCGAATGGCCGCAAGTCTGCCCTTCCTGGTGGCCTTACGTTCTTGCGTGAAGCCGAGTAAATAAATTAATGCTTCAATAGTAACGGAAGGAATTTTTACAGTGTTGCATTGCGGATGGGATCTGTGTTTTGTGAGCACAGATGCAGAGTTGAGTTTGAATCCTGTCTTGTCTTACATTTTGGATTGATCTGCTGAAGAGGAAGTACATTTTTATTAGCTTGTGCTCTTTACATATTGTGCAATCTTGTGCAAGGGGAAATGGTGCTCTGCCTCTTCAGTAGTTTTTATTTGATTTATTCTCTTCTCAAAGGAGAAACACTGAATAATCTGCCCCTTACTATGGGCTTTTGCTTCATAGTGTCCTGGAGGCAAAGAGCACTAGGGGAACAGAAGACTTTTTGGCCAATTCTTCCCGGCAAGACCAGCTGGGTACGTCGCTCCAGCCTTCCGATGCCCCTGCACAAATGCCCGGCTGCCCGGCTCCTCCCGTGGTTTCCGAGGAAGAGGTGGACCTTGTTAGGACGTGTCTGCAGCGCTGGAGAAGCGAGATCCAGCAGGACATGCAAGGTTGGCCAGAAATGTGTCTGTAGCCATTTGCTGGTGCTTGCTAGCCTAAGGTCTGCTGTTGTGCTGCTGCAGTTGGGTGCCTGCTGAACTGCCCCGAAGGGCTCCTGCCTATGTAAAACTGACTGCTCCGGGTGTTTCGGGCTTTGCGGCGCCTGCAGTGGGCCGGAGCCTGCCGTGACATTGTCTTGTGTGTCTTGCACGTCTGGTGCTCACGGTGTTTGAGAAGAGCCGTGACTGCCCTCCCTGAATTCATGCACACCTCCCCTACCTCGGGCATGAAAGGCACCGCAATAGGCTGACTAGCTGTGAATTTTTATGTATCTTATTTGTCAGTATTATTTTAATGTATTTCTCTTTCTCGCAACGTTCTTGGCAGATTTGAAAGCTTCTATTGCCAGAATCAACCTCTCCATCGAGCAAATGTACTGTGACCCTCTCCTCCAGCAGGTAAGAAATGCAGCTTCGAAAGGGAGACGTTGAACTGATCCCGCCGGCCACGTGGATGCGGTGCAAGACAAATGTTTGTGTGCAAGGAGAGGAACAAAGCGCTACAGGTCTTGCCAAAGTGGGGGGGACAAATTTGTTTTTAATCAGCCTCCAGCCCTCCAGGGAGTGGAAGACTGAATGTCTTGAGAATGATGGTCTCGCCCTCGCCCTTGCTGTGAACTGGCTGTGATGCTCTCGGGGTCATCAATTCTCTGAGAGAAATGCTTCCATCTCTTGCGTTCAGCCCATTTCCAAACTCCCGCAGAGCTCAGGAGGTTAATAAATAAGTGCTTTTTCCAGAAACATTTAAAGCCTGAACTGTCCGTACTTGCAAAGAAATCCGTTCAGTCAGGCTCTAAGACCTTTACTGGCGCACTGTTGTTAATTCTTTTTCAATGACCTCAAATGTTTTCTGTTAGGAACTGTCAGCTTAGCTTCCCTCAGGAAACTCTTAATCTTACAAAGAAGAGAAAAGTTTCTTTAAAAAGATGTTACTTTTTCTCCTAACGTGGTCCCCCATCTCTCACGAGCACCCTCTGAGCTCCGGGTGTGCAATGTGCTCTGCTGTATGGGAGGGCCTCGGTTTCCCTGGTCGTGCCTCTCGGCTGCACGATGGCCCCGTCAGGCTGAGCAGACAGCAGAGCGACCCAGGAGAAGGCAGGTCTTGCACGGTGGGATAGTCACTCTGTGAATGAGCAGCAGGGCCACGGCCGGGAATGCGGCTTCAGCTTTTCTGCAGAGGTTGGACACCCGTGTTGCCCGCAAGCAAGCCTGCCAAAGGCACCTGTGTGGCTTTGCAGGTTCCCTACCGTTTGCACGCCGTCCTGGTGCACGAGGGGCAAGCCAACGCCGGCCACTACTGGGCCTACGTCTACGACCAGCCGCGGAAAAGCTGGCTCAAGTACAACGACATCTCGGTGACAGAGTCCTCGTGGGAAGAGCTGCAGCGAGACTCCTTTGGAGGCCTGAGGAATGCCAGTGCCTACTGCCTCATGTACATAAGCGAGAAGGTGTCCCGCCTTGCGGCAGGTATCGAACTCGTGGCTGTGGGTTAGTAGCTGTGCCCTATTTAGACTGTTGTGTGGACCATGATGTCCCCACGGCCCCGCGTGAGCTTCCCCGTGGCCCAGAACGGTCCCTCCTCTGTGGAGGAGGAGATGCTGGGAGCCGCGGGAGCGCCCGTATATTTCCGCGTGTCCCAGTGCTGTGTTCCTTCCAGAGGAGGGTGCTGAGTCCGAGCCTGAGGAGGAAGTGGAGGCCCTGCCGCCGGAGCTGAAGCGCTACATTGAGGAGGACAACTGGCGGCTCGAGCAGGAGGCAGAGGAGTGGGAAGAGGAGCAGTCCTGCAAGATGGTGCCGATGGAGCCCTCGCCCGCCTTGGAACCACGGGAACTCTCCTCGGAATCGGGCCCCGGTGGCTCTGCCGCGCACTTCGCACACGCTGCTGACACCGGTAACACCTTCCCGCTCCGCAGTAGCGCTGCTTTGCCGCTGGGCACCCGCTCCTGGGTATCTGGGAGAAACCGGTAAAGACGTGGCAAAGCAGGTTGGTGGGGGCTGCCTCCTGCCAAAAGGAAAAGCTCTTCAGCTGCTTGCGTGTGCGTTTACCCCTAAGCTTGTCGCTGAGTGTGAGGAAATGGTGTTTTCACCATTATACCTAATTATAAGGAGCCGGTAGCCAAGCCGCCAGTGAGTGAAACGTGGGCATCGAGCAGCACGTGCTGAGGTGCCGCTGGCTCCAGCGGGGCAGTCGCACCTTGCAGGGCCGGGCAGCGCGTGCCCTGTGCCTGGAAGGGCTTTGCGAGCCCTGCTGGGCCAGGCTGCATCCAGCCCTGGGATGAGGTTGGCAGTAACTCGTGTAAATCGGTGCAGGAACGGGTGCTACCGCGCACCTTGGAGCAAGGAGAGCCGAGCGCGCTCAGGGCAGGCACTGCGCGCCCAAGTGTGCGATTTGCAGGGCCTGGGTAGCCAGCTTATTGCAGAGCAGCCCCTCTGAGCTTAGAGCCGTGGTCTATGTCACCTTGTAAAAGGATGGGACAGCTGCAGGTGGGAAGAAAGGCATATTTTGTTTAAGGCCGTGCTTCCCGAGGACACGTGCTGGGATGGGACTGCTCCATCCCGTTTAGCGCCCTGCGAGGCCAGGCTCTGGGCAGAGCCGGGGCGGGCTGCCAGCGGGGATGCTGAGGGTTTGGGGAGGCCGTTCCCGGGAGGAGGTGCTGCCGAGGGCCCGAGCCCTGGGTGGAAGGCGGCTGCTCTGAGCCCTCGCGCCCGTGTTTGCTGAGCGCTGCCTCCTGTGTCCCGCAGAGGCGCCGGGCGCACGCTCGCTGCCCTCCGAGCACGCGCTCATGGCCAAGGAGCAGACGGCGCAGGCCATCGCCAACACGGCGGACGCCTACGCGAGGAGCGGCGTGGAGGCCGCGCTCTGCGAGGTGAGGCCCGCGCCGCCCGGCGCCCGACCCGCTCCCACACGCGCCCTCCTGCGCTCGGCCACCTCCGCTCGGCCCGCTTGCCCTTTCCTCTCTTTGGCTCCGGGTTTTCTTACTGTTTCTTCTCTCTGCTGCGCAGCCGAAGGAGGTAGAGCCCGCGGAGGCCCCTCATCCGGGAGCACCGGCCCTCCCGGTTGAGGCAGACGCACCGCAGGAGGCTCGAGGCACAGAGTCTGCTGGCCAGAGCAGCTCCCAGGTCTCCGAGGTGGAAATCCCCAGCGTGGGGAAGATCCTTGTTAGGGCTGATGCGGATGGATATAATGAGGAGGTACAGAACGCAGCGCAGGAGCTGCTTGCCGCCTGTCATTAACCTCTAACGCTGCAGCTAGTTGCCTTTGAGCTTCTCTAACGCTGGGAAAGGTAGTAACCTCTTTCTTGAAATCCTGCTCTTTTCTAAATATGTTTTCCCTCTGCAGAGCTCAAGAAGACTAGAGCAAATCCTCCAGCAATTTCATCTCTAAGTGCCACCAGAAAAGCGGCTCTCAGAGCACTTAATCATTACATCTGCCCATTGTTGCTCTAAGCCTTTAAGGTCTGCCATAGCTGTACCAAAACTGCTCTGAGGTGCATGTCTCTATTTAGAAGGCTCTCTTGTTTTCAGTTAGAGCCCTGTGCGAAGGAGGCAGTGTTAAGAGTTAGAGTATCCTAGGTCAGGAGTGCTCGAACGGGAACGTCCGCCCCCTCGAATACCCGAGCGTTGGCTCCCGAGTCGCTCAGCTGAGTCTTTTCCACAGATGCCCTTGCACTTCTTGCACTTACAGAGCTGTTGAGCTCGCTCCCCGCTGAGGACGTTCAACACTTGCATGGCGTTAGTGCCAGGAGCTGCTCTGCTGGGGGCAGTGCTCTCTGTGTCCTGCCTTCCAGGCCTGAGCGGGGCACGCAGGGCACGTGCTTAGTGTGTTGTGTGCTCTCACCGATTGCGTTTGCACACTCACGGCTTGCAACGACCCGTTTGAGACAAACCGCATGGAAAAAGTGCCTGTGGTGGGTGGGATAAGGAGTGCGGACATCTCGGCTCCGGCTTCTTGCGCCTGTACTCGTACCGTTTCCTTGAAACGTTCTCCTCGGACCTTTCTCTTCCCTTTCCTTCACCATGCTTCCCGCTCTTCTTCTGCCTGTCACTGTCTGCTCGTTCTCGTGTGCGTGGTGCTGCCCTCGCGGAAGGTGATGCTGACCCCAGCCATGCAGGGGGTGATCCTCGCTATTGCCAAAGCCCGCCCGACCTTTGATCGCGACGGCTCTGAAGCCGGGCTCGTTAAGGTATCTCCCCTGTTAAGGTATCTCCTCGCTAACTCCAGCGCTCGGAAGGTCTGGGAAATGCCAGGAAGGGAAGAGCGGGGGCTCCACCGACGGGTCGCCAATGCGAAGGGAGCGTTTCACGCCGCTCCTCCTTTTGCTAACGCCTTTGGTGGCCCACGTGCTGTTCTGTTAATGGAATGAGATAGCCCTAGGTTTTAAGCGCTTTTTGGAGGTTGCAAGAGCTTCCCTCCTCTCGGAAGGAAGACCGGTCACCTTTGGCTTCCTTTTCCCCATCTATAGTGGATTTTTGTGACCGTGGCGCGTGCAGGAGGATGCCGGAAGGAAGGGCCCTGTGCAGCGGGCCCTTTCCGGAGGGCACGGGGCCGGCGGCAGCCCCGGGCTGAGGCCAGCGGAGCGGGGAGGCCGCAGCGCGTGTCCCTCTCTGCCAGGCCTTCCATGAGGAGTACTCCAGGCTCTACCTGCTCGCCAAGGAGGCGCCCACCCCTCAGCACGACGCCCGCCTGCAGCACGTGCTCGTTTACTTCCTGCAGAACGACGCTCCCAAGCAGGTCGTGGAGCGGACCCTCCTTGAGCAGTTTGCAGACAAAAACCTCAGCTACGACGAGAGGTTTGTGCTCGGCGTGGCAGCAGGCGGCTTGGCTCCCGCGGTGCCGGGGTTCTCACTCTGCCCTCTGTGCTGGCGCTGAGCAGGTCAATCAGCATCATGAAGGTGGCCCGAGCCAAGCTGCGAGAAATCGGCCCTGACGACGTGGATATGGAGGAGTACAAGGTAGGGGAGCGGCCGTGCCCTGCTTGGGGTCGCCAAGAGCCGATGCGCCCTGGCATCGAGGAGGATCTGGCGGCGCATGTTGCGGGTGCAGCTGACGCTCCGCTTCCCTCTTGTTCCCCTACAGAGATGGCACGAGGACTACAGTCTGTTTCGGAAGGTCTCTGTTTACCTGCTTACAGGGCTGGAGCTCTACCAGAATGGAAAGTAGGTTGATTTTAATTGGATGCTTGGGTAAGATTAGCTCCAGCCTGGAAGTGGAAGCTACTTTGGCGGTACTTACTGCTTCTGACCTGTGCTGGTCGCTCTTGGATCCAAGAGGTGCCGTCGTCTTGCCTTGCTAATAGCCTTCTCGGGCCCGCAGGGCTGACCTCGTTCCACCGTTCCAATATTATGCTGAGTTACTAGCTCGGCGCCTGACCCCGATTCTTCGGGTTTCCCACTAATCTCTCCCTTGGTAGAGCTGAGTCTCTCCTTTCCCACGGATGAGTTTGCAGGAATGCTTGCCATCGCTTTGGCTGCTCCCTGGACTTTGCCAATTAAAAGGCAACTGTCCGAGGCGTGAAGCCCTCCTTCCTTCAGACATTGGTGTTTGCCCCTTCCCGTGGTTTTGAAACCATGTGTTACATACACAGTGCATTTGATATGCAACAGTGGCATTGTAGGGAAGATTTTATGAAACCCCTTTTTCCGTGCAGAAGGAGACTTGCCTTTTAGAGCTGGTTCACGGACTGGAGCAGAACTTGTCTCCCGAGGTGGCTCTCGGCGGCGGGCGGGCAGAGTGACAAGAGGCCGGGCAGGGTGTGCTGCCGTTTCTCGGAGATGAGCTCGTCCCTGCCGCTTGTTTGCCTTTGGCAGCCTCGAGAAGCTCAGCCCTGCACTTGTTTTCTTAAGTGCTTTCTCACCAGGTCTTTTCTCAAATGGAAATATGGAAAGGAACTGAAAATATTGTTCCGTGCCCCTCTGCGGGCGTCCTCCCAAAGCGCAAGGTTGTGGCACCAGGACAGAGCACAGTTGGCGCTCGCGTCCTGGCTAAGCTGTGCTCAAGCGTTGCTTTCAAAAGGGCTTCCGAGGCTGCTGGGCTGCCACGCCGGGGAAATGGATTGTGTGGTGATTTGATGTAGAGCAAGGTTAGATAATGCTTTGGAGGGGAGGGGAGCTTTGTCTGTGAGGCTCGATGCCGAGAGCTGCATTGGGACGGGGTTGCCGCGATTCCCGAGCTGAGAGGCCCTGCCATGGACCCGCGGACACTCGTCCCACAGGTACCAGGAGGCGCTGAGCTACCTGGTGTATGCCTACCAAAGCAACGGCGCGCTGCTGCTGCAGGGGCCCCGGCGCGGCGTGAGCCAGCCCCTCATCGCCCTCTTCAGAAGGAAGTGCCTCCTGGTGCGTACCCGCGTGCCCCCAGGGCTACGGGCTGTCTCCCTCCCGGCAACAGGTGATGCGTGCCCTTTTCCCTAGGGGCAAAACCAGTGCCAAACGTGGGATTTGTCCCTGGTTGATGCCCTGTGCTTGCCAAGACCCTCCTGACTATGTGTCTCGTGCGCTTACCGGGGTTCTGCTCCTTACTGAGGGCTAGCGGCAGAGCGTGCCCATCTGATGAAGGAACGGGGGCCATAGCCTGGGGGGAATCCACGTAGAGGCAGACCCGTGCATTGGCATCCAAACCCCACAACTGTTCATAGGCCTGTACGGTGTTGCCCCGGCCCGTTAGGAGCTGCCGCCTCTGCCTGGACTCCTCAGGCTGAAGGCTGGTTCGTGAGCCCGGCTGGTTGTGCCCGGCCGGCGGGCGCCTCTGCGGGACTAGCTGCTCCCCCGGAGTCCTGGCTTGCCCGGTAACCGCCCGTCCTCGTGTCCCTCCCCGCGCAGAAGCTGAACGAGGTGGCGGCGTCGCTGTTTGTGAGCGGCGAAGAGGCTCGCGTGGCGGAGGGCGTCAGCATCCTCAACGAGCTCATCATCCCCTGCATGCACCTCATCATCAACAACGACATCTCCAAGGACGACCTGGATGCCGTCGAGGTCATGCGGAACCGCTGGTGCTCCTACCTGGGGCGCGAGGACATGGACGGTAAGGAGCAGCTGCTGCCCGCGCGTCCCTGTGCGGCTCTTCCCCGGGGTCCCCGCAGGGCACCCTCACGCTGAGGCAGGCAGGAGCTGAGGGAGCCTTTGGGACACTTCTTTGCGTTCCCAGCATGGGCACTGCCTCCTGCTTGGCTGCTTGTGCTCGGGGCTGCCAGAGGCAAAGCCTGTTCGCATCGTCAGTTATGTTGCAGAAGAATTTAGCTGCTGTTTGCTCTAGAGCTGCAGGAGGATTCCTGCTCGCTGAGATGTGCGCAAGCATTTTAAAAGCCGGCGTCCTCTGGGCGTGTCGTGCCTCTGTTTTGTTGCACTTGACTGAGTCCCCCGTAGATGGCAGGTGAAGGCGGTGCACGGCACTGCAAGCGCGCGACTCTCTTCAGGCAGGCAGAGCAAGTTTGCTAAGTTTTCGAGCACAATGAAAATACCTTCTTTTTGAAGCAGTGCTAGCAAAGAAAAATGTTAAGAAGTGTTAGAGCCGAGTTGCTGATCGGCAGTGGAGGCCGGAGGTGGGGGAGGCCGTGGCGAGCGCTCACGGTTCCCTAGGGGCCAGGGCAGCGGGTGAGCGCGAGCGTGCCGCTGCGTGCACGTTAGCGGCCGTGGGAGCCTCCTGCCCGGGAGCAGCCGCGTGCGGTGGCCCCGGAGCGTCACCACGGTCCGTGGGGAGGTGCCCCTCTGAGCCCCGCTCTGCCCTCCGCCAGCCGCGCTGCAGCTGAAGCTGGGCGAGCTGCTGCCGCGGCTCCTCGACTGCTCGGCCGAGGTGATGGTGCTCAAGGAGCCGCCGACGATCCGGCCCAACTCGCCGTACGACCTGTGCAGCCGCTTCGCCGCCGTCATGGAGTCCATCCCCGGCGCCGCCGCGGTGGCCGTCACGTAGAGGCGCGCGGAGCCTCCCTGGGCAGCGCCCGGCGCGGCGCCTCCTCACCCCTCATGTGCTCTGTATATATGAAGGAATAAAAAACGGTGTTGCACTTTTAAAGGAGATGTCGTGTGATAAAGTCGGGACCACGGCCCCCTGCGCTGGGACAGCACAGTGAAGTACCCAGCAGTGCCCTCTGCCTTGGCCCCCCACCAGCCTCAGTGCTGCGGCCCCTGGTCCTGCACCAAAACCCCAGGGCCGCCAGCAGAGCAAAGCCCCGAGGGGCTGTTCCCTGTTACCCATCTGCCCAGCGCATTTAGGTCCTCCTAATGCAGAGAGGAGTCATCGAAGGGCAGCGGTTGGGACGGGGCTGAGTCACGAGCACGGGGGCGGAGGGGACCGAGGGCGCACGGGGCTCCGGTGCCGCCAATGCGCTCGCCCCTCGCTCTGCCCCCGGCCGAGGAGCCTCCGCGGGCTCGAGCGAGGTGACAGCGAACGGCGGCGGGGCCCGGAGCCAGGGCCGAGCTCTCCAGCTCGTCTGCGGCTCAGTTGTGCCACAGTGACGGCTTACCCGTGAAAGCAAATATACCCCGAGGAAACTGCCCTGCTGGATGCGAGAACTCGCTGCTTCCTGCCCTTGGGGGCATCGCTAATGCTGGATTGGCCAGGAGGGCAACTGCACAGCTAGATTCAGCCCTTAGCTCCTTCCCTTCCCATCCCTCCGTGAAAGCTGCCTCTGTCTGACTTTTGTGGCAGCTCCAAGTAGTGTTTGAGCTACCACAGTTGCTTCAAGCAAATCTTTGGAGTTAGTGCGGGGGGGATCATTTCTGTTGGGACTGTGCACCTTTTACAGGAGTGCAATAAAAGCATTTGATCTATTTTGTAGCTCCTTTGGTTTTTTTTTTGTAGATGTCGCTCTATTTTTACTACTCTGTTCTGAGATTGAGGCAGATATTCTGCGCGTCGAGGAACTGCGGGGTCCTGAGCAGAGCGAGGGCTGGAGCTCTGCTCGTCCTTGCTCTCGGGGGAAGGCAGCGCAGCCCGTGGTAGCTCGGGGAGGTCCATGGTGCTGCCAGGCAGCCCGTGGGGACTTGGATGTTCTTCAAGGTAAAAATAGGTGGCCAGGCAGCTGTGTTTGTTCCTCGGAGCCCGTAAGGTGCCAGCCCATCACAGAGTGGTGTCCAGGAAGCCTTCGGGGGAAGCGCTGGGAGCTCTAACGTTTCCAGCCGGATCTTGCCCTGCTCGTGGCTGCGACACAGCCGGCTGCCTTTCATCCCGGCTGGCTTTATGGATACTTGTGACTTGTCCACTTTGCAGCGGGCGCTCCCTTGGTTGCTTGTGCTCCCGCGGAGGCCGGTGGTGTGGAGACAGGGTTAGGCCATTCTGCAGCTCCTGTGCAGGTTTTCCTGCTGCTGCTCGGGGTGAAGGGGCACCCCTAAAGGTTCCCTCGGCCTCGCTCCGTGTTCGCTGCAGGACACACAATTCCCGCCTCTCTGATTTCTCTGCGTTTCTTTCTTTCCTGTTGCTGCTCTGGGGCCTGATGGCAACATATGAAAGCGGTCAGCATTGGGAAGAGGTCGTCGCTCCCCTACTCACCCCTACTGCGCAGTGACTGGGAATTCCCAGGTGAGCTCCCGCACTCTCCAAACAGTGCTCCGAGCCCTCCTCCTGTGCAGGAAGCCAGGATGTGGTTTGAGAAGGGTTCTTGGGTTAGGAGGATGCAGTTACCCGCACAGCCGCGGGGCGCTGCCTTTCCCTGTTCCCGTAAGTTGCTGCCAGCAGAGCCGCCAGCCCTGCTCGCAGAGAGCAGACGAATGAGGATTTGGGAGGCTCGACGGTTGGGCCAGGCCTGCAGGGAGGCATGTGCGGAGGCTGGGAACCTTTGCTCACCATCCGCTCGTCACCCATCTGCCCTCCCGCAATGTCCCAAGGGGCTGGGTCACAAGTTCTGGCCGCAGCCGCGTCCTGGCGCTTGGCGGGTTTCTGAGGCCTTCAGAGGGCAGCTCCACGTTTGGATAAATCTTTGCAAAGCACGTTCCCCGGCCAAGAATGCTACCCTTCTGGCCCCTCTCTTTTGCCTTGTCTGCCGCTCGCAGCGAAGGACGTGGCACGAAGGAGCAGCGCGGGGCGCCCGTCTCGCCCCTGCCGCGGGGCTGGCGGAGGGCAGGCGAGCAGCGCCGAGCCCGGCCCGGCCGCCGCGCCGCTCTGCGCCGCCTTGTGCGAAACCGGGGCTGCAGAACCAGTCCCGAGCGGCAGCCCCTGAGAGCAGCCTGCGCCTTCCTGCCGCGCGCTGCCCTGCCTCGCCTCGCCTCGCCGCAGAGCTCCTGGGTCCGCGCTGTGACCGAGCGTGGGCCCGGACTGTCCGTGCGGCGGGGACCTCCGGCGGGGCCCGTGTGTGGGGGCTGCTGCTCCCAGCGCAGAGCCGGCACACGCAGCATGTTCCCTATGTCTGGGAGCGATCTCCCTCTTCCTCTCCCTGCCTACCTCTTTTTCCACTCTTCAGCGTAGCCCCCGAGCAAAGTGCAAGTTACAAAACGTGAGTTTTTAGAGAAAAGTGAACTTTGATTCCCGAAGGAATGCTGCTTTTGGATGGGGGCTTCCTTCATTTTGATCATGGGACCGTGGCTTTGGCAGCAAAGAGATTAGAAGCGCCGTAAAGGGAGCTCTCGTCCTCCCGCGGCCAGGAGAGCGAGCGTCTCGTCCCGGGAAAGCCGCGTGGCGGCAGGGGCAGCGCCCGCGGGCAGGGAGCCGCGGCCAGGCCTGCCCCGCGCCAGGCGCCCACGGCGGCCGCGCACGCCTGGGGCCGCGCTCGCCAGGACGCTCCCCGCCGCTTTTATGACTTTCTCATGTCCGCGATGAGCGCATTGCGCAGGTGACCGGGATGTTGCCACAGGCTTAGTGCCTTCGGAGCGCACCTTTTTCTGTCTCGACTGTTTCCTTCCCCTGACCTCGCTCTTTTTAGGTTTGCATCTTTTCTAAGCTTTTCTAGAGGAACAAAAGCAATCTTCAGAATGCACTGTTGTTCCTTAAGGTGCAAACATTGTATCCTGCCTCATGCCACACATTGCATCAATGCAACGACATTTTCAGAGCACAAATACACACTGCTGACAACAGAAATAATTTATTCCAAACACATCAAGATGAAGTGGACATTCAAGGAACGAGCTGTTTAGTTTGGACGCGGATGTTACAACAGTTACATTCCTGACTATTGCACATTTCAGGGGAAATGCTCACGTAGGGCAATCAAGGAGGGACTACACTGCAAATACAACAGAAACACAAAGTGCTCTTCACTGCTCTCCGCTTGGCAGAAGACTGGAGCGCGCAGGGCGCTGCAGCGCGCGCTGCTGCCCGGGGCTGTGCGGGAGGAGGGAACGCGCAGACATCCAGGCGGGAGAGGAGTCCACAGCCCGTATCAGCACCAGGCAAGTCCCGCGCGGTGTGGAGCGCGGGCCGGGGGGCTGCGCTGCGCGGCGAGCCTCAGATGACGAGGTCGGCGTGCTTGGGGTGCGCGGGGTGGCCCCACGGCGCCTGCGCGGGCAGAGCGCGCTCCGCGGCCGCGCGCGCCGGGGCCCTCTCGGTCCTTCGGGGGCAGGCGGTGCAGAGAAGGAGCAACCCACCTGCGGCGAGGAAGAAGCCGGCGAACCAGCCCAGGAACGTCGCCTCGCCAAACTCCCACCGCGGCACGATGTCGGGAATGCTCTCGTCCCAGAACTCGAGCACCGTGTTGTAGGCGACCCAGGAGACCGGGACGAGGGTCAGGACCCCGGACGTGCCAAACGCTGCTCCTCCGCACAGCAGCAGCCGTTTCTTCACCGCAGCTTTCTCCTCGCACGTTCTCCAGCAGTCCAGCCCCAGAGCAGAGAGGATGGCCGCGAGGAAGCCCAGCCCGTTGGAGAGGCACATGAGGACCCGCGCTGCCCGCAGCTCGGGCGGCAGCGCCAGGAAGGACTCGTGGGCTTTGCACTCCATGGCGCCTTCCTCCTGGATGATGCAGACCTGCCAGAGCCCCATGTTCCAGATCTCCAGCTCATTCAAGTCCAGGTTGAGGTTCTTCCAGAGCGGCACAAACGTCGTGACGCAGGACGAGACCCAGCCGAAGAGCGCGAGGAGCAGCGCGGCCACCTGCGCCGCGGTGCTGCAGCTCCAAGCCATGCCGGTGCTGTGCCTGCGGCCGCCCGAGATAAGCGTCGGCGCGCGGCGCCTTCTGCTATTAACGCTTGTGCAGCTGCGTCCTGCACGCGGGACGCGCGCCGGGCGAGCGGCTGCCGCACGAGCACTGCGCTCTGTGCCTCGCTTTCGTGGGAGGCCGGGGGCAGCCCGCGCTTATAGCTCTGATCCCTGGGTGTGGCCTCGATCATTTTCATGTCTCGTCGCCTTTGCTGCCTTTCAAGGAGAGTGCGCCTGGCCAGGCAGGAAAAACTGGGTGCAGCAGCACCGAGCTCCGCTCCGCATCGGTGACGGCAGCACCAGGGCCGTGCTCGCGCCCCTCTGCCTTCGCAGCTGCCAGGAGCAGGTGCTGCGGGTGCCGCGGGGCCAGGGCTAGGGCTAGCGGGTCCTCTTTGCCCCAGCTCCTCCCTTGGCGCTCACGACACGGGGACAGGTTTGCCATGGGCACACAGCCCACAGCCCAAGGGCCGCACTCGCCCCACTGCGCACAGCAGGGCGAAGGGGAAGCTTGCAGGTCCTGCAGGCCCCGGCAGCCCCGCGGCGAGAGCCTTGCCGGGAATGCGCCGCCATGCGCACGCAGCCCCGGCCGGCAGCTGCTGCGGGAGCACGCAGGAGCAGCAGCCTTTCCGGCCCCCTTCATCTCGTCCCGCAAGCGGCTGCGCCCCGAGGGCACCCGGTGCTGCAAGCACTGCTGCCTGCGGCACCGGGTGCCACGGGGAGGTCACAGCGAGCAGCTACGGGACAGTGAGAGCACTCTGCTCCTCTGGCCAGCGGCCGCAACCACAGCTGACCTGGGTGCGGTGCCTGCTCCAGAGCTTGTTACTCCTGGCACGCTGGGGTTGCCCCCTACCAGCAGGCTCTGTTCTGCTCCCTGCCCGCGTATTCGCAGCAGGCAGAGCGGGGCTTGTGCAGGGCGAAGCGGGCGGCCCCGAGGAGCTCGACCGCCCTCCCTGCTCAGCCCTGCCCGTGGCGATGTCTCCTTGCACGCGCCGTGAGCGCAGCCGTGGCGCCCGGTTTGGAGCAGGGCGGCCCGGGAAGGGTCCCTGCTGCTCAGAAGGGCGGACGGGCAGACCCTGGGAATAACGTCTGTGCGGCGCCCGTCGCTCATCGGTGCCGTGCGTCCCTGGAAGGAGCTTTGCCACTGTCTGTCCTCAGGGCGCTGCTGCCCGGGCTGGGCCCTCTCTGCGGGACCCCAGCACGTGGGGGTGCACTAGGATGTGCACTCAGGAAGCACGTGCCAGTCATCACTGAAGGAAATACCTGTTCCAAGAAAAGGATGGGGGGAGGCAGAGATAGAGCACGTTATCAGGTGGATCCTGCCTTTCCCTTTGCGCTGCCTTCCATCTGTCCCGCGGTGCCCAGGCAGGCGAAGGGGACACGCTGGGGAGCTTGCAGAGTTTCATTTTCGTGGGAGATTAGTGCCTAATCTCTCCTCCTCTGCGGCCTCCATCTCACAAAGGACGCGGGGGGACAGGGCGGGCACTGCCGGGTGCTGCAGCATGGGCGCTCAGGGTGCCGCCTTGCGCGGTGAATGTGCAGCCCTGTTCCCAAGTTCGGGCTTGGCACCGGCGCCGGCCCGTGCGTGTGGCTGCCACAGGAAACCCCTCGCGCTGCCTTCGCGCCCGCCCCTCCGTGGCTCCATCGCGACGATGGAGCTGCTGCAGCTGGAACGGTGATGGATGATTTCCTGGAACGGGACCCGGGCAAAAGAGGGGAGGTCGTTCAGGGAAGAACAGCGGCATTAGGACCTGTTTGCTTTAGCTGCAGGCACTTTTATCTCTTGGGTACACATCCTGCTTGGTGCCGCTTGGCAGCGACCGAGGGCTGTTCTGCTGCTGCATCTTCTCCAGGTGTCCTGCAGCACCAAATGTCGCTGCTCTCCTTGCGGCGAGAGCGTTGCCCGTGCAGGCAGAAAGCAGGACGTGGGCCTGGCTCCAGCTCCCTGGAGCTGCCAGCAGCGCTGCACGTGGCCCGCAGGGTCCAGAGCTGTGCAAGCCCGTCCTTTGCGAGGCTTCATCGCTCTGTGCCCTCCAACCGCACTGCCCTTGTGTGCAGCTTGTCCGCAGCCCCGCGGCTGTCCCCGTAGTCAAAGGGTCCCCAAAAGAGGGGGTCAGGCTGCTCGCGCCAGTCCTGAACTCTGACTGCCACTTTGGGGAGACTTAATTGTGCTGTATTAGTAACCTCGAGCCGTTTAAGGCTCTGGCTAAGCAGTTATTTATAGCTTTTGTGCTACCTTCGCTATTTTTAACCCTCCTGCTGCAGAGAAGCCAGGTTAAATATAACCCGGATTGGACTTCGACAGAGGCGCCGCGAGACCTTGAGCAACGCAAGCACCTGGATGAGGGGGCTGTTTTCCAGCCTCCGCAGCTGATCCTGCCCTAAAGCCGGATGGGGAGCGGGGCACGTCACGGCAAGCAGGGAAATCCTCAGCTCCGTCGCAGAGGTTCCCGGCAGAGCCGGGAAATCCCTGTGTGCGTCCCCACGGCTGCGGTGCCAGCTGCTGCTGCTCGTGCCTGTCACCGGCCTTGGGGCTGCGGGGCCACGCGGCTACGCAGGGAGGATTGAGACGACACAGGGGCACTGTCCTCGGCACCATCTCCCCTGCAGCACCCGCTGTGCCCCACGCCTGCCCCACAGCACGCGGGGCCGCGGGGCCTGCCCAGCTCACCCGTGGCCGCAGCCGGGGTGCAGGGGCCGCTCGGGAGCCCCGCGTGGGGCCGGAGCTGCCAGCAGCGCCGCTGCTGCCCGTGCGCCTCGTGCCACTGGAGCGAGAGGCGCCCGGCGGCGGCTGCACCGCCGGCCCGCACAGCGGCTCGCGGGGCTGCCCGGCCCGTGCGCTCCCTGCCCGAGCCTTCCTGATTAAATCATCTTGAGGTAATGCAGCCTGTCATTGAGACAGATTAACGGATGACCTTCTTCTTGCAGAGCAGGATTGGAGGTTGTGCCAAGCTGCCCTGGCCGCACATAAGCCCCGCGGCGCCGCCCGGCAGGGGATTTGCCGGCAGAGCTGATGGGAAGATGCCCGTGGGTGCCCGGGGCTGCGCTGGGGCCGCCCGCGGGCGCCCGTAGCGGCCCGGAGAGGAGCCCGGCGGCGGCCGCCGTGCCCGGGGATGAGGTAGGTGCCCGCGCAGGGGCAGTGCGGGTCGTGGCCGTGCACGTGCTCCGCACACGGGCTCCGGGACCTGAGCTGGCGGTGCTGGGGAGCTTTCCCCTGGGGAATAATCAATACTCAAAGCAGGATGGAGAGGCCAAGGCCAGCCCTGCACAGGTAGCTCTTGGGAGGCCCGGGTGGTGCTTGGGAACTGGCAGCCAGGGCTCCGCAGCCCCCTCGCCACGGGCAGCGCCTTCCTGCTCCCGTGGGTGCCCTGGAGCTCGGGGAACGCGATCCTTGCAGCGCTTTCCTCCGGGGATTAGTCCCGGACAGCAGCGCTGCCAGGCGGGAGCGCCGGGAGGCAGCGGGCACGGGGCAGCCTTCCCGTCCGTGCCGCAGCCTTCCTGGAGCCGGCAGCCCCGAGGGTGTGGCCGCCACACAGGGAAGAGCCCGTGGGGCCGGCGCTGCTCCGCACGTGGGTGATTTCCCCCAGGGCCGCAGCTCCCACCGGCCTGGCCGGAGCACCCGGCGGCGCCAGGGCTGCCCAGGCAACAGCTGCCCCCAGTGCTCCGGCAGGACCGCCGCCTCCCTGTGCATTAAAGGAAATCTCAAAGCAGAGGAGTGTGGGCTTTCCAGAAATACTGCTGCCTTTATAAAGTGTCTGGCCCCAGACCTCCTGCAGCTTTCTTTGTGGCACTTACACTCCTGCTCAAGCCCATAGGCTCTTCTCTTGCAGCTTTTCCTGTTAGGAAAAGGAGAGTTTTGCCCCCTCCCACCACCCGCACACAGGAGAGCCAGATGTCGGCTCGGAGCTGGCCGCCAGTGCCCTCAGGAAGGCAGTAATTAAGGCAGATAATTATTTGTGAGACAGAGCACTGCCCCAAAAGATTATTGCGGATGACTAGTGGTCATGGCCCAAGCCTGGGGAGGCCGAGAGAGCCGGGCTCGGCGTGGGGACAGCAATGGCGGGACGAGGTGACGGTGGCCGCGTCGCACTTCCCGAGGCCCTTCGGTCCCCATGGAGCTGGGATTCACTGCATCACAGGGTGAAACACCATTAAGCCGGGAGGCGTTTGGGCAGGCTGAGCTCCCGTGGGCGGCGAGCAGCAGCCACACGCTCGGAAGCTCTGCGCTGGGCGGGCGCAGCGGTGGTCGGGCTGCACGGCGGTGCCCCCGCGCAGCAGCCCCGCGGCTGCGGTGCCGGGAAGCAGCGGGCGGCACCGCGCACTGTTACGTAATTGGCTTTGCCATCTGGCGCCTCCCGTGCCCGGGCTTCCCTCTCCGCTTAATGGAGCTGAAAGCAGCGTCGCCTTCTCGGGCGCTCCCTGCACATGGTGCTCAGGCTCCCCTGAGGTCAGGGGCCGAGTGAGCGCTTGGGGGCTGCCTTCCATCAATGAAACCCTACCCAAGGAGAAATGAAGTGAAGAGCAGGCGCTGCCGGCAGTGAGGGCTGTCCCTGTGAGCACCCCGCCAAAGCGCCGGGCCCGTCCGCAGGGGATGTACAGAGCGCTTCCCCAGTCCCCGCGGCAGCCCCCGGGCCGCGTCTCAGCCCCGCACAGAGCCGCTTTTGGGTGAATGCAGCGAGCAGTCCCTGTGCACCGGGCACTCTGCGAGCTCCGGGGTCCAGGGTACGGCCACCTGCCTCGCACCACGGATGCCGCTTCCTCACCACCACCGAGCCGGAAAATCCTGCTCCGCTTCCCCGGGGAACTTGTGGGGCGCTCTCTTTCACAACAGCCTTTCCCTGCCGCTCAGTTTCTGCTGTCAGGAGGAGAAAGCAGCTCAATTAACGTAAAGTATTAGTGCCCGCGGGGCCGACACCGCCGGGGCGGGAGCTCCGCGGGCCCCGTGCACCGCTTGGTGCACTGTGCGGCTGCGTGCAGGGCAGCTCTTGTGCTGCTGCCCGCGGCCGCGTGCCAGTGACGCACTCTGTGCCCCGCGCGCAGGTGGCCGGGCCGGCCGGGGCGGCGGGCGC